GTAAAAATTAGTAAACAAAATGGAGGCGACGTGAAGCGCAATTGCGAAGTAGTACCGTGACTAAGCGATCGACTTTCGCGTCTAGTCACAATAGGAAACAGGCTGGAAGCGCCACCACAAGGGCGCCGCAACTTAGGCCGGGTTCTTTTCCGCAGGTTCCAGGCCCGGTCTTTTTTGGGCGCGCCACGCCCGCGTGTGGGTGAGGTCTTAATCCCGGACGGTGGCGAGTACAAGCCGGGCTGAAGGGGTAAATGACGGCAAAGCCCGGCCCACATAACCGCGGAATCAATCGTTGATGTTATTCGTACAATTTTACAATTAGATTGCGCGGGCCGCTAGGTGATCCCTCCTCCTGGGGTAAAACGTAAAACTTACGAGGGCTAGAAGATTTCAGATTTCCAACCCGTCTATAACGGGGGGGGGGGGCGGCGCAGACTATTAAGAGGCTAGCAACCCGGCCGACTATTGTTTAAAAAAAAAATTTACCGTGAAGTATAGTTTTCCAACCGGCTGGGGACGTGGATTCTATATGTGTCCCGTCGGTCCGGACACTCGGTCATAATTGTCATAAGTTTGCGTCACAAGGTTTTAATGTTAAACTAAGCCCCCTCCCGGTGATTAAAAAGTCACGTAATAGGACGATGTCTTATACAGTGTCGCGAGACAACTGACCGGGCGTCCGTCCCCCGCCGTACCGCTAGGTTAACCGATATTTTTGTGACCTATAAAAAACAAATGAGATACTTTTCCGGTACCTATGGCAAAGGTTAGTGAGGTGGAGGGTAGAAAAGACACTAGGTCAATTTTCCGTCCAGTAGCCCCGTACAGTTCCAACGCCGATTCACGTGCCACCAAACACACACGGACGGCTATTTCACCTCATCGGTTTATAGAGCTCCTGTTCTTTCATGTTTTCAATGGAAGAGAGTGAAAATGGAAAGAAAAACGCTATTTGTTGTTTGTTTATATCACGGAGTCTGTTCTTCTTCTCTGTCTTCTGGCCATAATAAGGACGATCGTACGTTCTGTGATTCTCCAGAGCACACATGTTATGATATTAGGGTCATGCAGAGTGAGATGAGATCGCTGTCCCTTTAAGAGAGAGAGGGGTGTGGCTTGTGCATGTGTGTGTGTGTGGATGGTAGAGTGACAGTGAGGGAACGTGTGTATGTTTCTGGAAGTGAAACGAGGCAGCAGAAAAACAGAGGTCTGTGATGTATTTTGTGAAACAGAAGAACAGCTAAATAAATGCAACGGCCTCCCAAGAAGAGCTCGCCTCTCTCCAGTCATTTAAGCTAAAGTGGGTTATTGAACCTGAAGCTTGTTGCTTCTGCCCTCCTCGACTACGGTCTGGGAGCCGACAGGAAAGTTCAACACACAAGATGGCCAGTCCGCCCCTTTGAAGCATATTATTTCGATAACAGATGAACAGATCGCCACTGGGCTTTCAACTAAGCTCCTTATGGGTACTGCAATTAGTGAAGTGCTTCCCTCCGTGGTGAAACGATCAGCACTGCACCACAGAGGAAAGCGGCAGAAAGTCACCTATAAAGAGAGCGGGGCTGCGTTGCGTGCATGGCTTCCTTCTGCAGGTAACGGGGAGACGCGCTCTGGCGGCGGTCTCGTTCAGGATCCGAAAATACAATTTAAATATTTTGTACACTTATTCCACTTATTCCTAGTGTGCCACTGGTTACGGTGCCGCGTGCCAATGCTGGCACGCGTGCCAGGGGTTGCCGACCCCTGCATTAAAAGATGTCATCTGTGGATACCGTGGCGCTGTAAAAAGCACGACCAATCATCTGAGCCGGCCCGGCTAAAATAACTGGATGGCCTACCTGCCTGACAGCCTTCCATCTGTCCACAAACTTATCTCGTGCCCTCATTGGTCATGTGCGCGTTCGTGTGTGTTGGAGGAGGGGCTCTGTAAGGAAGTCTCATTGGTCATGTGCGCGTTCGTGTGTGTTGGAGGAGGGGCTCTGTAAGGAAGTCTGAAGGAAGGGGCAGATTTATTTCGGCTGTGTACTTTCAAATTCTAGCGCACTCGAGCTGGTTTCTCCATTCTTACCTACCCTACCTTTAAGACATAAAATAGTGCCGAAAAAAGCTTTATTTTATATTGGCTAGTGTTTGTGGTAGCATGGCTCAGCTGTTCCTAATGCAAATACATTGAGACCGATTGAGACTAAAACAAACAGTAACAACTTGCCTCTGGTGCCCTCTTCAGGTCAAAATGTAAAGAAAGTGAGATTGACATTGTTTGCCTGTGTTGAGTCAAACTGCAGCTGTGGACGTTTTTTCTATTTCCATCCTGCATTAACATGTTTTTTATTATGTATCCCTCTCAGGCGGCCAAACTGCTGTATGAAGCTCGGGATCAGTGACCTTCAGACTGACCTTCAGACTGACCTTCACACTGACCCTTCACACCCAAGTGTTTTCCCCCGGCTCCCCGGGTTTTGGTATCGTTTGCATTTTTGCTAACGCCATTTCTGATTCTGCCCTTTCCGTCTGATTCCTCATCGGTTCCTGATGCCAGTTCTTATCGTGGTGAATGTGCAAGAAATGTTTGTATGAAAAAAGAAAAAGACTTTATTACCTCTATAACCAGAACTTTGTATATCATGTTTACCACAAACACGAGGATTGTTACTCTTATTTCTTCGATGCATTTTACATCTCAGAGTTGAATTTAATACATACATCAGGGCATACTGTTTGTACTTAAAAAAAGGAACAAACTGATGCAGGAAATACGCTCCCCAGTTTAACTGTTTATTTTGGGTTTCTTTTCTTCCTGTGTTTTGACTTTCTCAGATTTAAGAGTTATTTTTGTTCATCCTTAAATACTGACGGTTAAGCTTTTACATTATAACACACATGAATACCTTTCATAAAGTCAGAGATGCAGTAAAACTTCCGAGGCCCAGTGTTTGTTTCAATAATAACTTTTTATGCTGCAGTTCATTTTACTTTTGGGTTTTAATTCCTGGAAGAAATGAAGATACACTTTATAGATTCTTGAAGGGATCATTTTTTTAATTATTTGATTTTGCTGACCCTTCTTCCACAGAGGTCAGATAAACAGCAACAAGTAGGGACCGAGTGTCTCAAAGGACCTTCAGCAGCTTGAAGACTCAAACAGATCTTCCAGACCAAGCATTGTCCGCGGCAGGTCAAAGGACAAACCCACCTTTTTTAAAACCCTTTAATGAAGATAGAAAAGCACCCATGTGTGATGTGGGTTGCATTTCAGACCCCAAAGTTTCCCATTTCCCCCCAAAAAGACCAAATAGAATGAGTTATGAGAGTGAGTTATGGGAAATGCAGGATTGTCTAACTGACGCAGAAACATGAAGAAGCATATTGAGGAAACTTTAAGGATCAAACTTCCTGAAAAGCAAAGAACATCAGAGATTTATCCACAATTTTAAAGAGGGCTCTTTGTGGTTTCCCTGTAATGTGATACTGTAGGTTTTGGCATGTGAATGGTTCTGCGAAGGCTAAAACCTCAACGTTTTACACATTGTACGTGATTGGCTAAGGGGCGGGACAACCGAGCCGGCCAGCTAACCAATCAGAGCAGACTGGGCTCTGGTTTCAGACAGAGGGTGAAAAGAGGTGCTGCAGCACAGCGATATGAGAAGAATAAATAGCTTTTTGAACTTTAAAGCATGGAGACATGTCGCAGTCGAGACACTAAATACAAATATGAACCTGAAAATGAGCGTAACATGAACCCTTTAATGAAAATGTTGAATTTCTCCTTTACGAGAACGGCTTCCATTTAAATTGACGCATACGTTCAGGTAAATTCTTTTTGTAATGTATATTATTACGTTTCTCTGTAATTCATATGAATTTTTTTGCTACATATATTTACAGATTAAAATCTTTAGGCATCGCTGTCTAAGGAGAGACTATTCACTGGTTCTAGTGAAGCATAAACACACAGACGCTATAGTTTCATGTATTGGATTTTTGTACGAGCTATTTTGTTAACTACTTTAACACGAGGTGTGTGCATACTCACATAATTCCCTTTGACCTTGCTCTAAACCAAGTCTGATTTTATTTTTGATTTGTTATCGCTGTCAAAGCCACAACCTCGGGATATGTGATCAACCAAAAGCTTCTTAGTCCTATAGCTGAGTTTGTTTGTTTGCTTCCAAAGACCTATTTTAAAAAACAATGTAGTTGAAAGTGGTGAGGATTTAGGCCAGTGCAAAACAAAATGCCCTAATCAACTTTTACTATGTTAATATTTCTAGAACTTGGCCTAGTTTGTGCCTCTTGTGTGTTATCACCACATTTGAATCAGAGCTTTACACCCCTAACTATGAATATCGAGAAATCTTTGAAGATATTATTCTTCGATTTTTCACAAAATTAAACCCTGTATTCGTTCCTGTTTTCTTATCTGCGGCCACTCAGTTTATTCAAATGATGTAATTAACTCTGTAAAGCTTCCATCAGTTGGTTTGTGTTGAAGCCCCTTAATGCAGCAGGTTTATCTCAGCGTTCAAAATGTTCAGAGGACTTTTCATAATGCTGCTGCTTCAACATAAAAGCGTATTATGAGGGAAACGTGGCCCTGTTGGGAGAATAAAACGGTAACACATGATACGCAAACTACGGCTTCCTAAGTTAGATTTCACCTCCTAACAAAACAAAGAAATGCTGAATGGACATTTAAATTGACATTTCCTAACGCTAATTGTCCCTGATGCCAATATGTGATGCTTTTTAGGTTTCAAAAACGATAAACATTGTTGGTGTTATGACAAAATCAAGAAGTGTAACTTTAACACATGTATATGAAAGATTACCTTAGCTCGTGGATGTGTTTGTGAATTTAGGATTGTGTTCTTTATTGTAACTGAGTGTTATGACACAAAGCTAAAAACTGGACCTTGAGATAAGTATTTTTTTGTCAAAACACTTCAATTCACAAACACTTTAAATCTGTCTAAACACCCGAATAAACACTTTCATTATAAATATACGACTGCACATCAGTTTCTAACACTGCTTTATTAATCTGAGATTAAATCATATAAAATACTTAAAATGTGCTGGTGTCTTCCCTGTTTTTATCTAATCATAAATCAACAAGTTAAAAGTTGTTTAACGGAGCACATCTTTGGGTTTGTTTGTTTTTCCCCTTCATGTCATTGATACCGAATGAAAACAACATTCTCCACCACCACGACTTTGTAACATAACGTTTATTTTTATACGCTGCTCACCTAAGAAATTAAATCACTAGTTGTTGCTTAGTTTGAGGCTTTTTTTAGAGCAGAGATTGAGGAACGTTTTGTGTGTTTGTTGTTGTTTGTGTCTTCCATTGTAGAGCTGTTTGTTATGAAGTACATGAGAGGGCTGCACAGCCACAAACTAAAATGATCATATATTCTTTTCCATTTTTTTTAGCCTCTTTGATTGAAGACTCAAATCATTTCCTTATTTAATGTCCTCTGCACCCAGCACTAATAAGATGCATGATCCCTTTATGTTAATTACAAACATCTCTAAATCACAATGGAAACCATGTTGTGCTCATTGGAAACTGATTATCTGGTAATTCTGCATGTTTTTTTACAACAGTTATAAATTGCAAAATCCCTTTCCTTCCAAGTTTGATCAGAAATACACAAACTTGCAATGAATTCCCGGATTTCTACAGATACATTTAAAATAAATTATTGTTTTGCCCTTTATTTAAAGAACAGTTGCCCGAAGAAGATTGAGATATCTCATGATTGCTGAAATGCAGATATTTAATAGTTTATAAGTAAAATAAAATGGAGTTATCTGATGAAAGTCAAATGATCATCTTGTGCTTCTCTCTGTGCAGCCCTCGTTGGTTAAACATGAATGAAGTATATTTGTTTGAATGCACTTTGTGTAACGTCACTACTTCATACTCCTCAGCCAGTGTTTGTTCCTGCACTTTAAAGCCCTCCCTGATTATTACAGCCCTTTTTTATCCCAGCGCTTCATTTTATTACGCTGAAAACGCTTCTACACCTTTTGTTGGATTATTCTGTTGAGAATAAAATCAAGTGTTTATACATTTCTGGTGTCTGTTGTGTCATTTGGAAAACGGGATTCCTCTATAAACAAACAGACAGACTGAAGGGCGACACGTCTAAAAACGTATTGAATTCAGAACAATGATTCATGTGCATTTTTCATATTAGTATTTCTCATCAGTACTTTTACTGTAGGACATTTTGCACCAATGTAAAACTGTATTTTTTTATGACTGTTTTGAAAATAATGTCTTATAAATCACCCAACCTTGATAGCCTATTTTTAAATATACACAATATATTTTGTATGATTAAAATATCAAATGGTCTAAATTCAAAGAGATTTAAATTACACCAGAGGCCTCTCCAGCTCTTTGTCCTTTTGACAGATTCATGTGAATGTATTCTAGGTAAAGTGGGTTTTAAACAATAAATAATACATAATTCATAAACAAAATAATTATGGAAATATACAAGCTTTGTATCAGAAGGACACTTTAAACAAACTACGTAACTTGCAGAGTGTAGTGTTGATTCTAGAATGTAAATATTTCATATTAACTTTTAATTGAATACATATACAGAAAAACAAAATCTCTTATTACTATTTGAATGTAATACATAGTTTGTATTTTTTTTTTACACAACAGTGACAAGATGATACAAGACACTACACACACAGGGTTGAGCAACGTAGACAACCACAAAATAAAAACAGTGACACACAAAATACAACTTTTAATAATCATTTTGAATAACCATTTTTAGCTGCTGACAAATATGACTTTATTTAGTCAACGTTTGAGATGCAACAACAGTTTTATTTCTCTATTCATATCACATACACAAATATAACCACGTTTTCATTTAACTCATGCTTTTAATTTGAAGGAAAGAGTCTAGATCACTCCTAAGGACTTCGTTCACTTTCATTCGTCGATCTTTAATATGTCCTAGTGACGCAGTTTTCTTTTCACCGTCTAAAGGGTAATGTAATGTATTATAATTTACTATATTAATCTGACTGTCAGTGTAATAGATGTGTTTTCATTATCTTTAAGTCCAACCATAAGAAACTTAAAAACGGGTCAGAATTGCGTTTTTGAAAGTCGTCAAAACACGGAACAGGTGAACAGGAGCTTCAGGCCTACTTGATCTTGAAAAAGGTATGCTAATTAACAAGCAAAAAAAATGCCGTTTTCCTCATGAAACATGAAAACATGTCATGCTTTTCGTTGTTATATGTATTATAAAAAGTTAATATTTGAGGTTCGTACTGACAATACAAGCAATTGAATGACATCGCCTGACATTTGATTAACTTTTACTTGATAATTAAATACATCTTTAGTTGGTTGCAGTCAGATAAATGTGCTTTGCAAGTTTTAAAAAGGTGTCAATCTAGCTTTGATTTCAGAATACAGACAGGAATAAAAACTAATAACTTTTATTTATTATTTTTTACTTAAGAATAAAATGTTGAAATGTTAAAAATGCACACTGCACTGTAAATTACGAAAGACATACAGGGGTGTTTTTATCTCTACAATATTACTTGGTTGTAACAAAAGTTAAAAAAACTTGTTCCTTCCTCTGGATGTTGAGGACTTTAGTTGGACATTGATCACGACAGAGACAAAAGTACCTAAGACCCAAGAAAATGACCCAAATTGATTAAACAGAGTTAAATAAAAATAATCCAGCTTTTTTTTTTAGGGTGAAGTAACTTTAATGTGACATGCACAAACTGTGAGTATTGTTGTTACTGCGTCCCTATTTACACTACCTTCTCTTTGTCATGCAGGTACAGGTAGAGGCTTGCAATGAGTCAGCTTGGGGAGATAGAGAAGGGGCTTCTTCCTCCTGAAACCTCTCTGGTTTGGATCCTGACAGCCAATGGACGCCCACAGGAGAGAGGCCTGAAGAAAGCATCCCCTGACCCCTTCTTTGCAGGGTCAGAAAACACTATCTTTGATTCAACCTCTGTTTTTATTTTGTGAGCTCAAAGCTGCAGAAGAGCCAGAGTACCTGTAGACATTTTTTGTAGACATTTTTGAAGCGTAAATGCAATCCCCATAAGTAAACAGCTAAACATAACTATATACAAACTACTTAAACAGTAGGGAACAGAACACTGACTGAACTTCTCTGATGTCTTAGAGCAGGGGTCTGCAACCTTTTTGACCAAAATAGCCATTTTGCTCCTTTTTCCAAAACATGTTTTTGTCTGGAGCCGCAAAACATATTTCATAGCTTGATAGCTAAAAAAGTTGTATTTATTGTTATATCAGACACAAACTACAGTTTTTTTGCATTTATTAGGCTATTTATTACGTTATATAAAACTGTTAACCTTAAGAAACAAATAACTCCTATAAGGAGAATTAAAAATAATACACAGGCCTACTTTAAAATAAATTAAACACAGCACTTGGGGAGTCCTCTGCACATTTGAAGGAAACAAATATATTATGAAAATGGGCCAACTTTGAAATAAATAAAACATATAGCTACACCTTAAAAAGAGTTAAAGTTAGGGTAGGTAAGAATGGAGAAACCAGCTCGAGTGCGCTAGAATTTGAAAATACACAACCGGAAAAAATATGCCTCTTTCTTCAGACTTTCTTACAGAGTCCCTCCTCCAACACACACGAACGCGCATCATCACGAGATAAGTTTGTGCACAGATGGAAGGCTGACAGGCAGGTAGGCCATCCAGTTATTTTAGCCGGGCCGGATTGTCAGCTGTCTTCCTCTCCCTTGTTGTTCCTCGATACGTAAAGGCTGCAGCACCGTTGACAACTTCTCTCTACATATAAAACATACCGGTAAACCAGCATCGTTTGCTGTGAAAGCATATAACTCTGTCCACACAGAATTAAATCCTGTGTTCCTCCGGTACTTTTCTTTGATTTATCCATAGTTCGCTCATCGAACTATGGATAACAGGTTATTCGCCTCCAAGAAAAGGCGCTGGCGCGGGACCGTAGCAGGATGTGACGCATATTTTAGTTGACCTAATTAAAACCGTTTTGTTTTTTATTTATGTGTCACAGTATCACCTCAAAATACAAGATACGAAACATTTTCAACCATGCAACAAAATATAAATAGTCCTACAAATACTTTTATATTATTTCCTTCTTATTTTTGTCTAAGCTCAAGGGAGCCAGAGCAGAGGAGCAGAGGGCTTAAAGGGCCGCATGCGGCCCGTGGGCCGCGGGTTGCCGACCCCTGTCTTAGAGTCTCTGTTTAACCAGCACTTGCTGCAGCCCGATGGTTTATAATCTAATGTTTTCTCTCTCTCTTGTCTACCTGAACCATTAGGCAAGTTACCTGTCGGCAGAAGACACAGTCCAACCCTATCCGCTGTGATTTCTGAGAAGCACCCTCTGACATGTAAGATTTTTAATGAAACTAGAATGTATTTTTAATAAGTGCAAGGCCACAAATATATGTTTTACCGTACTTCATGCCAATTATTCTGAAATAATGTGATCAAATAAAAAAATGTTGTCTTTATCTCCCACCACTAAAAAAAAAAGTGTTTGATTTATATTGATTAATATTATTATTAATAATTAATTATTATTTATTTATTAAAGATTATAATAGCGATAATAATATCATAATATTTGATATACCACACACACACACACACACACACACACACACACACACACACACACACACACACACACACACACACAATGATCACTGTATTGCCCTGTTTCTACTCATTCCACAATAATATCCTGATCATANAAACAAACAGTAGCACACACGCACGCACGCACGCACGCGCGCGCACACACACACACACACACACACACACACACACACACACAATGATCACTGTATTGCCCTGTTTCTACTCATTCCACAATAATATCCTGATCATATGCACAATCTATTCTATAGCAAAGTAGTAGTAAAAAACAGTGCATACATACTATACTAAAGACATACAAATAAATTAAATAGTGCAATTAAAGAGACATAATGGTATAGTAAAATGCAGGAACACGAAATTAATATATACCTAAAGTAGAATAAGATGAACCAGAATTTAACATTAAATATTGTAGAGTAGAATAACTACATTTATTATCTTGGTATACAATTATATGATATGAATGTTTGTCCATATTGCCCTATACCACTTACAGCTTCAATGTAAGCACCTAATGTATACACTTTAAATACTGTACTGTGTTTTTTATCAGGAAAGAGATGGAGGTGCTCTTGCTGCTTCGCTGCATAATGTCTTCTGCTGTTTCAAGTCGGAGGTTCAGCGTATATGGGTCAAAGTTTCTGTGGACCAAATAATGAACCCTTAATAGCTCCCGATGTGTGATTGTTTACCTCAGGGGTGTCCAAACTTTTTTCACCGAAAGATATTCGAAGGGCTAGGCCCCTCTGTAGGGGTGGGATATATTGCCTCATAAGTTAAGTTATAAACCTCAGATTGCTTATTATAAGGGGAAATAGGAAGGGTATATTTCCAGCTTGTTATGCAAATAAGTATTGGGCTTTTTTTTTAATCAACTAAGGTATTTTAGAGAATGTTTTCAACTTTAATTGACGCAATTTATCTAAAAAGTGGGTATACTAACACATGAATACTACTGTGTTTTATTTGTTTACACATATATTTAAGAAGTACAATATAAGAAGAGTGCAAGTTTCAGGTGTGGGCCATGATCCAATATACTTTTTGTATTTGCTGAGGGCTAATTCAAAATGGACCGCAGTTGGCCCCCGGGCCGTAGTTTGGACACCCCTGGTTTACCTCCTTCTTTACAACCAGTACAAGAATGATTGTGGGTAATTGCTGACTTATGTTTCTTAAAAGTGCCTTATGGGTTGCAAAGCTATATTAATGGGATGAATTTGTTTAACCTACATTGTATTCCTGCCTCGACTCGACTAAGGAAATATGCCATAATACTAACATATCTTTTTTTGTAATCTGAAAAGATTAAAGGAAATGTAACTTTAAACTTTGTTCATGTTGGAGCAATTTCTTGTTTCCATTTCTACGTTTCTGTCTAATAAGTGGTATATGTTGGATTGCAATTTGTGAGCAAGATTAGGTCCATAAACTATTTTGTGCTCTAGTAAACATTTTAATAAAAAATAGCTTAATGACCACTTTCCTATGGTCCAATATAAAGAGGGGAGCCATACTTGTCCAGTGTAGTTATACAATGTTGCACTGGATTTGAGTCATTGGGTCTCATCGGTCTCATCACATGGAAGTTATTGAAACAATCCAATAATTTGCTATATTTTTCAATAGAAATTTTAATTAAAAAAATGCATTACATTTTTCAGAAATTGTGTCACATAAGTCAAATTATTATTATTATTATTATTATTATTATTATTATTATTATTTTTTAACTATTATTTTAACTAACATGAGACAGTTATCCTGCTGTATCCTGTGCAAACACGACAATTTAAATACCTTCACATTTAATAATTTTAAATAGATTGTATTTTAGTGTAACTTTATGATATTAGACTTAACTGTCAATTAAAATGCCGGGACGTAAGAAGTGCCATTACCTAAGAAATACCATTACCCACGTAGGGGTCGCTGTTACCGGTATTGATACTTTAAATCAGGACACTTTTCTTGATTATACATTTTCCCAACACCTGACATATTCTCAATTCTCCCTCACGTCTTCAAAAGAATTACCCACTTCATTTTGATATGAATTAATCAACATATTGACAACCTGCCACCCCTCTGGCCCGAGTTGGTATCGCCCGTGTCTCCACAGCATCAGGCGCACATGTTGGGTGTGTTGTGTTGAGGATTGCAGCGATATTACAGCATTTAGCAAACCTCTGAGCACTGTCACGTTGCTGTTTGCTCTCTAACCACCACAGATACAATGCGATAAGCTTCACAGTCATTGAGAAGTCATTAAAAAATCGGTTTCATTGTAGAAAAACACTTGCGCCGAGGAGGCTGACACGTTTCGAAAAGCGTGGCTGGAAACATCTACTGTTACCCGGACTGAAGGTATGCACACCTACACCCTAATTATGTGGCTCTTTAACCCCCTGTGAAGCTGCTCCTTTTATTAAACGCGCTTTAAATCACGTACATGTTTGTTAAAGTCTGTTGAAGTCTGTGTTGCCGGCTAGCAGAGCTTCGTTAGCTTCCTCAGCTGTCAACATATGAGAGGTTCATATGGTAACCATCCACTCAATGACAAACTATACCAATTACACGTGATGTAGCAAAGCGAAGTGACTCTATTCACGACTGGTTGTCAACTTTACCCCGTGAAATGACTCGTATTTTGGCTAGATGAGAAGAAAACGCTGAGCTAGCCTCCCAGTTGCCACGTAGCTAGCCGGCTAATGGGAGCAGAGCAGCGGCTGGAACTCTGCAGAATCACTGCCTCTGTCTGGTTCAAGCCATAAACACTATGGTACTGTACTCAAGTTTAAATACAAGTACAACACTGTAAAGATACTCTGCTACAAGCGAAAGTCATGCATTTTAAATTCTACAGAGGCATAATTTATAAAAGTATCAGCATCAACTTAAAAGTTTTAAAGGAACACGTACCCATTATTCAGAATGCACGTTTTTAGAATGATCAGTGAAGGAATAAGTCGTTAGACCTTTAATTGAGTAAAAGTAGTAATACAACATTCTAAAAGTACTTTATTACAAGTTCAAATCATGCATTTAAAACATTACTGAAGTTGTAAATGGCCAGTTAAAGTAATGCATTAACTCTTATAGGCTACAAGTGAGTTCAAAATGATAAAAACATAAATAAAAGTACAGAAGAATAATCAGTGGTGTGAAAAGTACTTTTGCCTAAATAAAAGTAGTAATACCACAGTTTAAAAGTACTTACCTAAAGTAAAATACTTATTTTCTTTTTACATAAGGGCTTATCTAAGTAATCAGATTATTAACTAAACTACATTTTTATTGTATTTGACTTTTTCTTATATAATGGTATTTTATTGCATGTATCAGGTGGATTTAATTTAAAATAAATGTTATCAGATAAGTAATCAGAATACCAAGAATTAAGAACTTTTACTCAAGTATAGTACTTTTATTTGTTGTTAATTAATGCAACTCCACTATAATTTTGTGATCTGAAAAGAAAGCAGAAACTACAAACGCCCAATAAATGTAGTCGACATGCAATATTTTCCTGTAAATGTACTGTAGGAGTACTGTATGCAGGTCTTTAAAATAAAATACTCAAGTAAACAAGAAGTATGTCATCATAAGAACATGTACTTGTGTTAATTGCATTCTCTGCAAAAATGAAATGGTTTTATTGATGAAAAAGTGTCAAACATGCAGAAAAACTTGAATTTCGAGAGGACCTACGAACCTGAACACATTTCTGATTCTTGTCTTTCCTCTCTGCATTTTGAAGCTGAAGTTGAAACTTGCTTCAAGAAAGAGTTATAACAGAGAAAAACATTCGTCCAATGGAAGTGATTGCCCAACTCCATTAGAGACGAATATAAAAAAAAACATGATTTATTAATTTTGTTGCGGAGTCTTTGTTTTGAAATGTCTCTCTTTTGTCTTTTCCCATCAGGCTTTGCGGCTCGCTGTGCGCCACCATGAGTTCGAAGGTGTGCAGGAACTGTGGCAGCACGGACATCGACGTGGACCAGGCCCGCGGAGATGCCGTCTGCATGACCTGCGGCTCCGTGCTGGAGGACAACATCATCGTCTCCGAGGTGGAGTTCGTGGAGACGGGGGGCGGAGGCTCGTCGGCCGTTGGACAGTTTGTCTCCTCGGAGGGTGAGAGTCACTGACTAGAGCCGCACAATTAATCAAAATGTTATTGCAATATAAACTAGTGCAGTATGAAATGAAGTATTGTGGAGCAGCAGACATATCGCAGCCTGCAAATCTTGATGAACAGTTTTAACAATACAAATGTGTTTGGTACAGATCCACTAAAGAAACACAGACCATAATAATTGGATACATTTTTTTAATAATAACGTGAATAATGTTTCAAAAATGATCATTCCCTCCAATATCGGGCAATTGCAATATCAGTCAAAAATAATCGCAATCGTGTCGAAGGGGATATCCAACATATTTAATGCAAGATTTTTATTGTTAAACTGGTATATTTACAGTGTTGCATTAGTGTTTTTAAGATAGAAAAATTATAAGGAATCTGTTTTTTCTATGTTTTTTTGTAAATGTAGTACTTTGCTAACTTATTTTATGCAGAGGACGTGAGAAATTGCTATCGGCTTATCATTTCATGTGTTATTCATTTATAAGAAGAGAGAATGATGGCCAGCAAAGAAAACATGTAAGAAACGAGTGACCTTCCAGTGTTACCTTTTTAAAAAAAATTGATTTTTTGATTATTTCCTAAAGATATCTTTACTGGAATTCTTCTCTGTGGTCATTCTTTAAGATGGACCTTCTTCTTAAAGTCATTCGTTTTTTAGTGTATTTTTCTGGGTTTCTTGTTTGTTTTTATTTGTAAATTATATAATTGTTTATGTAGATAGTAAAAAAAAAAATTCAAAAAAAAACTTGAGTTTTCCCAACGGTTTTAATGTAAATTCAGATTTCTAATAGGAATTTAATGAATATAAACATGAATCATTCTTTAACTATCAGCACATATTTGTCCTCCTACTCGTCAGATGTGTGTGTATCTAACACACTCGCTCCGTGAGGTAATGTTAAAGTGTATGTTGTTCCACAGCTGCTTATCAGTCTGTCACATTTACCTCCAGATTATGTTTGACCTTCAGCCTGCAGGACGTCTCCCTCTTGCTGAGCCTGCTCCAGACGCATGTTACACGTTCTGTAGTTCCTCTGAGTGACCACTAGAGTGCGCTGTCAGATTACAATGCAGTACTTCGTGCTGATTTCTGCAGGTTGTGTTTCGTTTTTGCATCATGCATCACTTGGGTTCAAAGCTGAAACAGTTAGTTAGGGTTATCACAAAAATGTAATAATATCAAAGTATTTCTTATTCTCTTTGAATGTAAATTAAATATTTTTTGGTTATGGCAGATTAAACGAGACAATTCTTTTCACACTTTCAAAACATTTTGTCAACTAAACCTGGATTTCCCGTTCTTTTTATTTACAGGACCCTTTCTCTATCATTGTGCTTAGTGGCATATTTTATGGATATTTCATGTTATATTTACTGCATAACAAGAATAGAGCACAACAACTCACAAATTGTACAGTAAAAATAGTGAACACAATTACTGTAGGAGGTAATGCAAAACGTGCAATTTGGATAAGCTGATTCCCTGTGAATATGCAAACTAGCTTTCCTGTTATTTCTAGGACATTTTTATAAATTTCTCCCCGTATTATGATTTTTTGTTTACATTCATACATACTGAATAGGCATCCTTTTTGTCAAATGGATCACAGGGGTTGTAACTTGGTCTTGACTAGTAACCCTGCACAGTAACACGACACAGATTTGCTGGTACACAGATTTGTAAGTAAAACGCTCAGGACAGTTATGGCGCATTTCCACTACACGGCCTCACTCGGTATGGCTAGGCCTCGTTAGGCCTTGTTAGGACAGGCTCACTTTATAGCGCATTTCCATTACAGTTTAGGAACTGGGGTAGTATCTATAGTAACGCAGTATAGGCGGAGCCGTGACGTCATCTTCAATGGGAACCCCAGAAAAACAACATCAGCTGTTNNNCTTATTTTGTTTGATCCAATGCTGCACAACTGAACTGATCCAATGCTGCTGTGAAAGAAATAAGCTATATCCATGTTGGATAGAATATCCAATTTAAATAAAAAAATAACCTTAAGGGACAACTTGGAATGCTTTTTTCTTTTTTTCTCTTAATGCATTGCATAAAGATCGGATCGGGAAAAATACGGTATCGGCAAATTGTCAAAATCAAATGATCGGAATCGGATCGGGAGCAAAAAAAGGTGATCGGGACATCCCTACATCCAACCGGCCACACACGCATTTTAAAAGGTTTTTCGCCTGCCGTCTGTCTGCAGACTTCTCAAAGCATTAATTCATGGTTTTTACTAACCGGTATCAGTATGTTGTTACTTCGGCATCATTTTGAATTACAATTAAATCACGGTCAAATATGTTCATCTTGTTGTAGTTGTAACTTGTAGCCCCCTTGCCAGCGATTCTCTCTAGATTCTAGTTTTAAATCTGGAAATAGTACCCGCTAGCCGGTACTACGCTAAGTGGAAACGCGACCAAAAACGGGCCCCGCACGGCTCGGCACGCTTAAAGCGAGCTCCGCGCTGTAGTGGAAATGCGCCATTAAATGCCCATTAGGAAGAAAAAATGAACTTTTTATAGTCGTAAAAGTGATTAAACAACATGAAGAATCTGCTTTTGTTTTCCGTTAAAATATCCAAGAAAAATAGTTGTTGTTGTTCTGATCCTTATCTGTCTGTATTTTTTTTTTGTCTTCAGGAGGAAATGTCAACCCGAGTTTTGGAGAGAATAACCACTACCAGGGCATGGGCAGGGAGTCCAGAGCTCATACGGTGCAGAGAGGTGAGTGACCTGCAGGGGGCGACACCTCACTTTATCATCACTGTCTGCACGAGGTTCAGCTGTGCATAAAACTGCTGTTTCATCTGTCAAGTCTAAATCCTTCATAATGTAGCTCATGTTAGTCAATGATACTTTGGTGTCTTCCTGTTTTCACGAGTACAAGTTAGGGAGTTATACCTTTTTATATCCACATATGTCAAGATTATCGAAATATACAGTATTTGATTTTGCTTTCTGTTTTATCTCATTATGTCTTTACGTCTAGTTTACTTATTTCTATGTTGCACCTCGCTTTAAGTATATTGTTTGTTGAATTGTTGGAGGTGCATAGAGGACATATTATGCAAATTTTAAGCTTCAAAAGTCATTATTCATACACATTGAATGCACTTGTTTGTATACACTTCAAACATCTACTTCAACATGTATTACAAAGGAGGATGACTTCAGAGGTTAAACATTTCACAGAAGAGGCTGAGACTAAGTAGTTTCAGGAAAACATCCCTAACATGTTTCTCATTACCAGTTCTTTTCAGCCTTAGTTCATGTGCTTTCATATATATTTTATGATCTTCACTTGTAGTGTTGCGTGCAAATGTTCTTCAGAAAGCAGCAGTGTTGCAACATGCTGGATTTGATAACCTCGTCTGACACAACTGCGAGTAATTAAAGGCTTTTTCGGAGGCGATTTACCTTAAATCTTTTTATCCTGCTTGTTCAAAGAGCTCCTACAGTGAGCGCACCTTTAAGTCCCAGCACCAGTGTTTTTCCTCTTTGCTGCATAAGAGTTTGATTTTGAAGAACTGTTATATCATTCAAGTGTTTCTGGGTTACATTTCAGCTTTTTAAAAGGTGTAGATTCTGATCTGATGCACGCACGGTTGCCAGACAGACACTTATATAATATATCGCCGGTTGTTAGGCTGAAGCTGGAAAGAGTTAAAGAGGCCCTAAATAGTGACAGTTGCAGCTTTCCCCCTTTTGTTATCTTTTTTGTGTCAGCTAATAACTTTGGCCTTGTTGATGTATATCTCTCAGGGTCTAAACTGACCCCTTCCTCGTTCTCTGTGGCCCCTGAAGAGCCTTGTCCGTGTCGCTGGAGCTTTATCTCAACATCTTTTATCTGTAAACACATCAACAACAACTTGTAGAAAGAGATAAGGAATAAGGCAAGATGGCTGGCTGGCTGCCGGCGGAGAGTCTGAGCAGCCGGCTACTGCAGCGTCTGATGTTCAGCAACGCAGAGTCACAGAGCTGTCACTGCAGCAGACGCTGAGTAATGAGTGTGTGTGTGTGTGTGTGTGTGTGTGTGTGTGTGGGAGGATAGCAGATTAGTTTAGTCCCGGTGTGAGAGAAATATGAGGATGAAGATTGGGGAATACTTCAGTTTTATTGTTAGTGTGGTTCATGAAGAAGGAGTTTTATACTTCTGTGTGTTTGGTTATTAGAGGCTTTCTTAAAGGATTCATAAAGACTTGAACGTTTGAAAAATGTTTATTTTTAGCAGTTAGGTTTTGAAAATTAGGAATATGCTTGAAATGGAGTACATCATTTAACCCTTAGAGGACCACCACGATCATTTTCAGTTTTTTAAGTTGGAGACAGATGATCTTTAGGGGGAGGTAGCAGATCAACCATAAATGCCACATAGTAGTGGTCAACACCATCGGAAAGCTGCGACTCGGATTAATAATTTGAGCAAATCTTCTATTTTACGATACGATAATACAAAATGTCATTGTCAAAAGAAGTCAGAAATGTTTCTTGCATCACAGCAACATTTGACTGCAATGTCAAGTTCTTCTTGTCATAAATCTGTTATGAACATTGTGTTGTGGTCAGGCGTCTAGTCAAATTTTAAAGAGTGCGTAAAGGGCTTAAAACATTATGATAGAAGGATATAATGCCATCTCCATGCTCTATTATTTCTCTTGACATTTTTGCGTTGATAGCATTTGTTACGCAGTTTTGGTAAAAAGTTTTAACCAACTTTGACCGTTCAAAAGTTGATAGAATTGTGCAAAATCCTTTACTACTAATGCTGGGATTTGGTATGAAAAACGTTTTGGCAAGCGATCACTTCTGCCATGGTAAACGTCCGAAACCCTGTTATTGTCAATATACCTACACAAGTCATACATTATTTGAAAGCCCTCTGTCTGTTGTGGTACAGTTTCATGAGGCTAGGATCATCCTAGAAACAGTCATTTATGTTCCTGTGGTTCCACGTTATTCACAGCTGTAAGAGCCCTCTGATCTCTTACAAGTCAAAATGTCTGCTGTGAAAAAGGTCTGGTATCATGTTGTATCTCCTTTCTTTAATATGAACTGGGACAAAAGAGGGAGTGTTTAGAGGTGCTTGTAGGTGGATATTGGTTTCCTTTGCTAGCCGTTTCCCTTGTTTCCAGTGTTTATGCTAAGCTAACCTAACCGGCTGCTGGCTGTATCTTCATATTTACTGCTCAGGCATGAGTGTTATTGATTTTTCTCAAAGAATTCCCAAAGTGCATCACTTTTAAGTGTGTGTAAAAAGTGTGTCTTCGTGTGCAAGTGTGTTTGTAGATTTATGTCCGAGTCTGCAGGCATCTTTAGGAGAGAACATCTCTTGTTGTTCTTTCTGTCTTCCCTAAACTTTCCCCAGGGGCCGTCTCTCCCTCCTCCCCCACCTCACCCTCTAACTGATTCATATCTGGGAGCACCCCCCCACACCTCTTCCTGTGTTTATGTTGGACATTAATGTATCACCAGTCCCTCATGTACTGGTGCTCTGCTGTGTGTGGAAGCTATGACTGGAATTTAAATGTAGCTTTAAAAGGAGAGATTTACAGTATGTGAGAAAACACACAAACTGGAGCTGCAGCAAAAAGTGAGTTGGCTGGAAGGTGTATGAATATATTGATAAGGGGCCACATATCTTCTGAGAGTGTAGTTATTTTAATCCTAACAATAGATCACTCTGAAAACAATAGCTTGTAGCAAAGAACAAAGAACATCGGTTACCTCTGCATCTTGGCTGAGCTTTGTGGCCTCTTTCAGCTCGCAGTGTTGCTTCAGTAGCACATTCACGAGCTCTGATAAACCCACTGTACACTTTACCTGCTCAGCAGCAAACTGCAGACGGGCAGTAAGAGACGAGAAGGTGGGGAACAATTAGTGTTCAGCAGCAAAAGAGCCAGACATCACCCTCTGGAGTTGAAGTACAGACTCCTTTCACACCAAATGTATTACTAGCACTAGCACATTTTGCTTTATTTCTGCAATTGTAAAAGCAGGATGTGCTTTGCTTGGTATTTTGAACCACCAACATGTCTAAATGGGAAGAGTGATTCCACTCAGCAAGTCAGGCTAGCTGTTTCAGACGTAGAGCTGCACGACTCATCAAAATGTTATCACGAATACAAATTATAGTAAGTGCAACATTTGTGAAAAAATCCTGTAATTTGTTGTATTGAAGCTGTAAACAGAAAAAGCAGCAGAACTGAGTACACTTTAACATTTGTACTATTTAGATTGTATTATTCTTTTATTATTTATATTGGTGTTTGTATGAAAAGCTCACCAGATTTTCATCAGATCCTGTTTGGATGTTTCAGTAGCATTCTGCTTCAGGGTGTCCTAGTTTTTGTTCATGTAAATGTTATGAGGTGTTGTTTTCTTATTCAAAAGGCCTTATTAAAGATTCAGTCGTTCTGAAATGAAGAGTTGCATAAAGGGTTACGTTTTTATTATTTGTTTGAATGTCCATAAAAAAACAAAAGGCTTAGAGCACAGGATGAGGATAACTGTGTGTGAGAGTTCGCCTGTACCTCTGCGTGTTGTTGTTTCACCTTCTGGAAAACCGCCTATAATAAAGGGAGTGGAAACAGGATTCTTTGTGTGTGTGCCAAAAACAACATCAACAAGCTCACATGCAAACACGTCATTTTCAGTGTCAGCTTTCATGTGTGTTTCATGATAACACGTAGTCATACTCATCAGGGGGATTCCTCATGGTGAACGATCATGTAGTCAGTCGAGTGCCGCTCAGTCATTTTGTGTAAAAACCACAAGACTCTCCATTACAAAATATCAAGTTGTGTCGTGTAGACTTGGCTTGAAATGCAGTCTCAACTCCAGTGACGAGACACAGAGTCAGAGCAGAGAACTGAGCTCCAGACGTGGTCAGCATGAGGGTGTGTGTGTATGATGTGGTGGGGGTGTGTGTCATGCTGATGATGAAATCTGCTGGTTTAAGATCTAAAAAATTAAACTGAAACCACGTGGTGAGTTCAGAGCCCCACACACACACACACACACACACACACACACACACACACACACACACACACACACACACACACACACACACACACACACACACACACACACACACACACACACACACCCCATTCTGTATACGAGGATTTACTTTTGCTCATCAGAGGGTCATGAACCACACACACACACACACACACACACACACACACACACACACGTTCCACTTGTGAACAGTGTGTTGTTGTGTTTTGGTGTGGTGACTTGCGCAATAGTGTGTGACACTCTGATTTATGGCATGCTTTCCATTCAAATCTTAAATGTAACTTAATGATTAACCGCCCTACGGAAAACCGGACTGTCTGGATTTGAAAATGTTTGCTTCAATGCCGAACATGTCTTTACGACCTTCCTTCCACCGTCATTTAGCAACCTATCCACAAATGTATTATAAATGTGTGTGAGTTTGAACAAATGTGTGTAACGGCTTTGTGCTCGTCTGCAGGCGCGTGTGTCCCGATGTGTATGCAGAGCTTTGTTTGCAACCCGGTTATGTTTACGTGCGTGTGTAATGACGTAGGTCTGTGTCTCTGCACCAATAACAGATTTGTTTTTGGATAAAAGGGTTACCAACAATGTCAGATAAGATGATTATCATGCTTGTCCTGTACGTAAGAAATTGTAAATCAAAATGGCCGAGCGTGGTCATACACCTAGAGGAAAAGCCTTTTACTAAATCAGTCAAGTCTTCTGTATTATTCGTTGCTGGTATTTCTCCTACTTTTTCATTAAGCTCTGATGATTGCAGACTCAAATGACATGTCAGTTTGCTCTACTATCTCTATCCATTGCTCTTGAGAAAGAAGTGCCACTTTAGTCCTTTTCCTATTGATGATGTTTTTTGCCAGCTTTTCACAGTATTTTAAAAGATGCTCATTTGTACCTTTTTAGAAGATGAGCCTTAAACTTTCAATTTAAGCTTTTTGCTTAAACGTACTTCCCGTTACATTTTTGTTCTGCATAAATTATAAAAAGCTGTTGAACTATAAATAACATAAGAAACGTCTAGGAAAAACGTATATTCTCTGAAAGCACAAAAATCTTTTAAGCTGTGACTGTCCTAGAAATAATAAATTATTCTCATGTTTACTTACTGGCTTACAACTCAAAATGTCTGCTTCGAAACAGTCTCTAAAGACGTATCTCATGTTAAATCTACATAAAAAAACTAAGTTTAAAATTGCAGTTTTGGGGGTATTGTGTAATGTCTAAAATTGTTTGTGTAAACTGACTTGCTTTTTGTTATACGTGTGTCCCTGCAGCGAGACACAGCATCAACACTCTGGGTCACCAGCTGCAGATGAACAAACACTGTCTGGACACGGCGCTCAACTTCTACAAGATGGCGCTCACCAAACACCTGACCCGCGGCCGCAAGTCGACCCACGTCATCGCTGCGTGTCTCTACCTCGTCTGCCGCACAGAGGGAACGCCACGTATCCTTTGTGTTACCTAAAAAAAAAAAAAATGAACTAAAGTAAGTTTTTAGTACAGCTACCAAGTTAACAATCACAATCTTAAAGGAAACCCGATCAAAGGCTTTTAACAGATGAAGAGCTGCGTTTCCTGCATACATGAGTTCTTCTAATAGCTGAGCTAAACTGCGCCGTCAGCTGAGACAAAGTTGCGTGTTAAAATTGCAAACCTCCGTCTAAAACACATCAAAGTCTACAGTTTACTTTTGATGTGAGCCAACGGAGGCCTTTCTTAACGTCTCATAATCTGCTAACGGCAGTTTATTGAAGTTGGGAGCGATGTGTCATCGTTGGGATAATGGGACTTTTAGATTCATGCTGTTTTAATCAGCAGGGCAGCTCGTTGTGTGTTGTCAGTTTGCTCCTGACTCATATCGCCTCCGAGGATGGACGTGTTACGTAAGTTCAGTGCGGACGGGATGGGTTTACCTAATGAAAGCAGGGCGAGGAGGGTGTAATGCCTTCCTCCTGCTGCATTGTTTACGGGGCTTTTGTATGTGTGTGTGTGTGTGTGTCAGTGCAAGCCTGTCTGTTTGTGCATGTTTTGGTGCAGTGAGGACGGGGTAAAAATAGCTCCGCTCACTTCCTTTTCCACAGCTGGGTGAGTCTGTAATGTTGTCGCAGGGGAGAATCGGGACAAAGATGTAGGCAGAAGGAGAACAGAGTGCAAAATCAAAACATCCGACTGAACCTTGAGTGTTAGTTTAACGCGGATCCACTGCACGGAAAACCGGACTGTCTGGATTTGATATCTTTGCTTCCTTCCACTTTTTTTGTCTTGACGACCTTCTTCCCACCTTCATCATACCAACGTTTCCTTCCTTCCTCTCCCTCTGATTTCTGCTTCTTTAATCCCCCCACTTCCCTGCGGAAAGACAAAAGTAAAGTAAAAATATCCCCAAAACTGACACAACCGTGCATGCAGCCATTAAAACTAATCAAAACAAATGTCATGTAATACTCGATCAGTTCTTGTCCAGCTGGAGCATGCTTGATGAATGATGGTACATTTTTCATACTGCATTTGTTGATGCAGAAAAACAATTTGCCTGCATTTCCATAAACCATAGCAGCTGTAATACCTTTATATTGTACTCATTTATGCAGAGATCTGTGAACACAGCAACTTCACCAGAGGAAAGTCAGACAAGGAAATAAAACCGGCTTAGTCAGACTTCACTAATATCAAAGTAAAAACGGCAAAATAAGATATAATATACAAGTTCAAAAAAAAGTTCCCCTCCTACAGTCAGCTGTTAGGAGATGAGTTGAGGTTAAAACTGTTTTGTTTTCTATTCCTTTTTTAGTTTTGGACCAAAAGCAAGATTATTTGTGGTAGTGTGGATGACCCTCTTGATGTTGATTTATAGTTATAATAGATTTGTAGAACCTTATCAGTGGGAAGCATAAAGTTAACCTTGTGACCTGTGCAGTGGTCGAATCTATAATGTCCACCAGGGAATAAACGAAAAGCCTTTCAAAGGACGCGAAAATCAATTAAAAAAAAAATCAGAGAAGGAAGGTAGACCCTCCCATGGTTGTCTCAAATACAACTGTCTTTCAACCGTAACAAAGATTTAACTGATGTTTTAAAAATGCCATGTGTCACTTTGCGTGGTTAAAATGATGTTATTATAAATGAGAGACGCAGCATTTACTTTGGTACAGTTAGTATTTTGCAACAGTTTGTGACGGTGGTGAAAACATAGGTTGTTCGACTAATTTATGAAAAACTGAGAAAGGCCTAATAATTGCCAGGCTGTCAAGAAGATGCTGTGATGTTTAGCATCTCCATAAGACGAGGAGACGATCGTTATTGTCAATATACTCGAGTACAACCAGATTTTTTTCTCAGGCGTCTCTTAGTGCAGTTAAAAATAGAAACAAATAAATAAAAGCAGCAATGAAAGCATTGAGTTCATAAACTGAAAACCAAACATTGACGCAGATACCTTTTCAGCTCGAAGTGGAGCTGCTTCACTTTAATCATCCATTTCTCTGGATATTGAAATAGGCGAGTCGTAGGGATGGTGCTTTCCTTTGTATTTCCTTACCTGTTTATGAACATGCGTCCCTCTCTGAGTGGACCCAGATGTGTTGAAGGACCTGCTGCTGTTTGTTTTCCTGATTCAGGGAGTGGCCTGTAATCTCCAGACGGCGTGCGCTGGGATTATTTTTTCCATTTCATCTGAGCTGCTGCCGCTAATTCCATTGTGAGGCCTTTTTCATTCAGAGCAGCTAATCCGCCCTGCAGCCGGACAGGTGCAGCGTCGCCACGGAGACGGGTCCAAGAGGGGGCCTGTCATTGGCAGAGGGGGGGGGCGGGCTGTCCAGAGGCTGACGGGGGTGTGTGTGTGTCTCTGAGTGTTTGTCTCAGTTTGTGTGTCTATGTCTCTATTTATGTCTGTGTGTATTCCTGTGTGAAAATGTGTTTGTGTGTCTGTGTGTTTTGGTTTCCATGTGTGTGGACTTACTGTTTGTGTGTGTGTGTGTGTGTGTGTGTGTCTATAATGTGTGTATTCATGTTTCTCCATGTATATGTCTCTGTTGGTGTGTCTCAGTGTGTGTTTCCGTATGCAAGTGGATCTGTGTGTGTGTCTCTGTTTGTGCGTGTCTCTCACTCTATCTGTGTTTGTGTGTGTCTCTCACTCTATCTGTGTTTGTGTGTGTCTCTCAGCGTGTCTACATTTGTTTTCATGTGTGCGACTGTATGTTTGTGTGTCTCCGTGTCCATGTGTGTTTCTCTGTGCGTGTGCATGAGTATGTGTATCTCAGTTTGTGTGTCACTGTCTGTCCCAATGTGTTTATGTCTGTGTGTGTCCCAGTGTCCACGTCGGTATGTGTCGATGTATGTTTCTCTGCAAGTGTGTCCTTTATGTGTGGGTGTCCGTCATTAATATTTAGCTGTGTGGTCCTGGTCACAAAGGTTTGTGTTCAGTGTTCGTTAGATTTACTGTCTCAGCTTGCTCACTTCATCAATCGTCACAGCCGGTGTCCACTGTGCAGGTGGGAGAGTCAGAAAATACACTTTTGATAAGTAAAAATAATAAGAAACACTATTTTATAGAGACAGACAGAAAGAGAGAGGATGTTGTGAGCAAAGGTCAGACGCGTCCAGATTTGAGACTTGTTATTTTGTCCAAGTTTTAAATGTGAGATTGCAGGCTTCAGATCAACTGTAACTATTAGTCTGATTAAGGCTCGGTCCACAGAAACAAATAATATGGACTTGATTATGTCATCTGATACTGTATGTGATTGTTCACTTATCCTAACTTGGGAAATGATAATCATACAATAGTTTTTTTACCTGTGATTCTTAATGTTTATTTGCTTAACCTGTTCTCTCTCAGACATGTTGCTGGACTCAGTGATCTCCTGCAGGTACGTTCAAAACTCCAGTCAAATTTGAAGATTAAATTCTTTTATTTTGTTGAATAATCTGCAAGATTATTTCCTTGAATTAATAAGATAGAATAATGGGACAAAAACCACCCCTTTCTTTCTCAAGAAGGCGGATGCCTTTACATGCTCTTTTTTTCTGTCACTAGAAAGTCCAAAAACCTCTATTCGATTAAAATATGTCAAAGACCAGAAGAAGCAAATTTTACACAACTAAACCATAAAATATGTGCCGGAAAACCGGCTTAAAGTTAGTGAAATAAACAGTTTACGTAGTTGCAGATTTATTTAATTCTTAGATTCATCCCTGTTGTTGCAACTCTGAATTTAAACGGGACTAATTTTTGATTGATTGACCATGTACTTTCATTGATTCATTCCACAAATCTGTGAATATATGGTTATAAAGCCATTTAGAGTAAAGAAACCTCTAAACTAAAAATTAACTTTTTCATACTTTGAACTCTTTAATGTCTACTGATGCCCACCCTGTTACAGCAAGCCACTTAAATACACACTGCTACCACAACTCCCATCATGCATCCTCTGCTCAACCACTCGGTCCTGCAGTCATCTGTATTCCAGACTTTCACCGTGTAATTAAACCTGAGTCCGTATTGTGTGTTATATATATGTGTGTGTGTGTGTGTGTGTGTGGTGTTGCTGGTGTGCGTACATTTAGAAAGCCACTCTTGCATATTTAATGGCAGCAAACACGGTGAGTCAGGGGTGTGGTGGGGCTGGTGGTGGGGGGGGGAACATTATCTCAGTCACAGCTGGATCAGGAGGCTTTTATTTTTATGCACCAGCTGTCCCGCAGGAAGCCTGCCCCCCCCACACACACACACCTCCCCTTCCCCGTGGTCCACACCCGGCATTGAGGAGGCTGGGAGTGGATATAAGGAGTGGATTTTGGGTGGTGGGGTTAATTAATGTAGCAGCAATTTAGGCGGCTGCGGGGTGGAAAATACCACCAATCACTCCTTTTTTTTTAACACATCCCACATCCCAGGGTCTGCTTTGTGACATTTTGTTTTGGATGAATGAGGCGTTTAAAGTGAATCAACGGTGGATACACATTATGATTTACATGCAGGCGGTGAAAATATCAGCTTGTTCTCTGGGCGTAATGTGATGAGCTCTGCAAGATCTTATTCATCGACCAACCCACATGCTCTGAATGTGTTTCACATAAGATGCATATATACTCCACCTGCACACATGCAGGTTTGGGAGTTTAACAGGTGCAACACACTACGATATCGCTGCACACTGTTTCATTGCACATTCTCTCTTATTAAAAATAGAGAGAGGCAATTCAACACGTTTTTTTCATGTTGATATTGTGGTTGTAAGGTTGTTTATTTATAGGAACTAATCCTCATTTATGTACAATGTTGTGTCCGGGGCTGATGTACATACATAATTCTATTAGTTAGGTGTTTTTATCTGTTCGACGAGTGTAAGCATCTCTTGCAAATCTGGCCGTTCTCTCAATCGGCGAGGAAACTGGCTTCCAAGCCAATATTATCAAGGATGCTACTCATCGATGCCGCGAAGGAACTGTTCCAATCTCCAGCATACTTGGAATTCCACTGAGGGCCGTCCTTGGTTTGGGGGTAATATTCGAGGCTGCACATGGGTAAGACTTTGACGTACCAGTTAAAATTCCACAATGCTTGTGCACGGACAATTTCCCCAAATCTGTGGCGGAAAATGTAAGGCTTGGCTCTCATATGACGCACAGCTTGGGCTAGCGCTGTTCCAGCCTCTTTCGTTTTCCGAATGCAGCGAAGGTTCTTGCGCTAGGCTTCTGAAGCAACGTGACTCGGAAAGACTCCCATGTGCTTACCAAGTGGCAGCATCCTCGCGATTGAGAAACGGCCTCTTTTCTCATTTAAATATTGGAGATGCAGAGTTGAGAAGGACGAGATTGAGGGGTGACATGTCGCGGGCAAGCAAGCTCTAAACCACTGAGCTATCGCTGGGCCGCAGTTTTATTTTTTAAAGGAGCTCATGTTATTGAATAGCCTTTTCTGAACATTATTCGCACTGAGTTGTATGCTTCTGAAAGGGTGGAAGAAATGGTTTCAAAGAGGAACACATGTTGAGGANTACGTCATGCCTCACAATCCAATCAAATCGCATCAACTTCAGTTCGTACTGTAACTGTCATCTCCGCCTTAAAAAGTAGCAAGCAACTGAAGCAAGTGCAATTATGGAGGGAGATTTGGAGTATTTCATCAACAATTATTTTACTAAACTTCCGCTACAGCAGCAACTAAAAATGAAATCTGATGACAGGCCAATGCCCAAACTGGAGCTGTGTACAGAGAAGGGAGAAGGAGCGAATCAGACGTAAAACTTTAAATAATAAACAGCGGATTTCTAACATTTGACATTTCATGTGGCCGTTCATTATGGCTCTTTGAAGGGAGCCATAAGATCTGGCTCCCTTCGAAGAGCCATAATTCCCATCACTAGTGCTTTGCTGGCTCTTAAGTTGACATTGTGACTGAACCAAGTTTGACGTGGTTTCACATTCGACAAATCAAAAACCAGCTTTTCCTGCGTGTAGCGAGAACAAATTAAGCAATTATATGAGTCAATCTAAGAGCAAATGTCTTCATTAATTTCATCTGTGCAAGGGATGTGTATTCCATACAATCATGTTGTGCAGCTTTAATGTAATAACAGGAAGAAACCAATACAACTTGAATAAATTAGGTATGGGCTTGAGCCTGGCTTCACACTGCTATATTAATGTTTTCTGTTCAGATTTTTGTTCTTCCATTTTGTCATTTAACATGCCCAGGAGACAGTTGCATTTTCAGCAGCAAATAAATAATTTACATCATCTATTACAATTAATAACAATTCAAGCTGCACCCAAGCCTCCTTTCTAATATAAATCTACCTCGCTAAAATAATATGGTGATGTTTGATCGAAGAGGCGTTTTTTTTCTTTTTCTGCCCAACTTTAAAGGATGGTGAGTGAATTCTAAACTTCTGTCTTCTGCCACTGTTATCATATCCTGCTGAAATAAGGCCATCTCGCAGCTCACACAGAGCGAATTGTGAATTGTATATAATTACTGATTCCTACTGGAATATTTCACACTGAGCAAGATAAATTAAATGATACGTATCTCAGTCTTCTTAGTGCCTATTTCCGCCTCCTGACGAAAGCACTGACATTACATTTCTTATTTTTTATTTCATTTCGGGGGCATGAGGGCACACAGTATTTACTTGCTGGAAAAGCAATTATTACAAGTTCTAAAGACGTTTTGAGAAAACAGGCTCTGAAGAACTTTGGCAGACATCTTTTTTTATTGTGTTGTGGACATGTGGTGTAAAAATCCAAGCTATTATAAACACCTGTTGTCCATATGTGTCTGAACACCTAATTTATCATCCCCTCCTGCCTGCCTCTCTACATTATGATGTTGGCCATACTGTAAAATGACACTGTGCTAAGCCCCGCCTAATATTGGTTATTGTTGCAAGTCTATGACAGAGCCGTCACTGTAAAACAATACTGCTTTCCCCTGTCACTCCCTGAAGGCACTCATTGGGTGTGCAGTGGATTCAGGTGAGGGAAAGGGGGACAAAGGGAGAGGGAATTGTTTGTTGAAGAGAAACGTTTTGGTCGGCGAGGAAGGAAAGGGAAAGGAAGCCTTTAGCAAGAGAGAATGTATTTAATTGTGGGTAGAGTCGCAGTGTTAAAGATCTCCTATAATTTGTTTGTTAGGCATATATTATGGGTCTCGGTTATATAAAACATTTCATGTTCCAAACCACATCAAGTATGGAGCTCAAATGCTTTTTCTCTTGCAGGTTTACCAAGGTGAGTTCCTTTTTTTATTTCCTGCTGTTTTACACCTACTCTCTCCAGTACAGGTTAGCTCTGAGTGTTATTGATTCTTGCTAATTGCTAAAAACATGTTGCACATTGTTTCTGATAGCAACTCCTATTTTTCACTTTTTTCGGCTGCCGGTGAGTCCCTTTTTTGTGGATATCTTTCTTCTTTTTGCAGTGTTTTTGCCAGCCTAGGATTTCTTTTTTGTTAAGTGACTTTGGATTTATTTCTTGCTTTTGTTGGGATTATTCAGTTTATTATTAAGAAGACTGCCTTTTTTTTATTGGACATTGACTGAGAATTATTTTGTGTTTGTACTTTTGTTGGAGGTGTTTGTATGTTTTTCGGCTAACTAAACTGTTTTTGAGATGCCACACCAACTCTGTCTAGGTTTTAGTTTGGGTGTGAACTTTATTATTTAGAGGACACCCTTAAAGTATCAGCCACAGAGCCACTCTCTTTGCCAGGTTGAATAACGATAGTTACGTCTGTAACTACGGTTCTATTTCGTCCCTACTGACCGCCAGAGGCGGTGCTTTAGCACTGGATATGTCCATTGCATGCATGCGCCGTACGAGTACCAATAACAACAAAGTCACCTGTGACCCACGTGACACCGGCTATATCAGCCAGTGTCATCAGAGGATCTGTTCCCTGGGGGAAGATGCGACAAGGAGAAGTGTCCGTTGGCTGCTGCCAGACGCTCCACCTCTGCAACTCTGGCCGCTCTGAGTGCCCAAGGCATGCAGCAGTTCATGAAGGCGTCCCTCAAATGCTCGAGACCAAGGCAAGAGGGGCAGCGGTCGTGGCCATCCTCGGGCTCGAGAGAAGCCATACAGGCGCTACATGGATGAGCCATCATGTATGTAGCCGGATGCAGCGGGAGCGGGGTACGAGAAAACAGCCTTCACCTGAACGGAAGGAGTAGAGCCCCTGCTCCTACTAGCCGAACACGAGAGGGGTGTAATGTCCTACACCCGTGTTACTAGCAGAGGGAGCGGGGAGTGAGATCACTGCCTTCACCTAGCTGAGTAAACGAAGCACGGAGCTACCAGCAGAGGGAGCGGGGAGCGCAGTGACGTGCAGTGAGGTTCATGGTTGGTGAGGCACTGAGTCAGATTTACAAATATTATATTTTGACCTTAATCAAAATATTCGATTATTTTCAAAAGCTTTTTTAGTCTGATGCTTCGATTCATTTTAAACAGACCGTTCAACAAAAGGATACCCAAAATCTAAATATTGGATTGTTTTTTCTTAGTAAGATCCCATTTTCATTACAATTGTGGTCTTACCTTGACTTGAAGATTAAGTCCATGCTCTCCTTCTGGACAACAATCTCTATTAGTTTGTTGTAAAAGTCCTGCTTATCTTCCTGTAATTTCAAAAGTCTAGTTTGTTGTTTGTGTCTCGTCTCTGCGTAGAATAACAGTAGCAACAAGAACCTGTGGGCTCACGTGCGCCCCCTTCAGTGCGGCAGAGGTTATGGCTGCCTCTCCTGCTGCTTTTTTCATTGCCGTTTTATGATTAGACCAGCGAGCCTAAATATCATATATACGTTAAATAAGTTATTTAGAGACTATGGATGGCGAGGATACATTTAATAAAGGGATCTACAAACATTACATTTGTGTCATGCAGTGAGATGGTAACAGGCATGCGCTTAGGGCCCGCTTTCCAGCCAGTTTATGTGGGGTGACGCATTCTGAGGTGAGGCAGAGCTCATCTGTGCCTACCTCACCCCACAGTAACTGGCTTGAGCGCGCTCACAAAATAAGTGCCCGCGTTAAATTAGTGCCCGTGCTCCAGCAAATTACTGTGGGCTTACGAGAGGCACAGCTCGTCCCTGCCTCACTTCTCATCGCTACCCGTAGTTGTAGCGGAGCTCGGCAAATTTGCTGATTTTGCCTTTAACACTAGAACCGCCAGATGTCGCTGTATACCTAAAACCGCCAACGGGTAAAATGTACCCGCTATAGATTTTCAAGGTACAATGTTATTTTATTTATCATACAGAACAGTGAGTTTTGATCGCACAGGGATGAAACTTATACCAATAGAATCTGTGGACTCTCAGCTTTTCATATGATATAGGTTGTGCAGATAGCATGAAGTTTAAAATATCGCTAAGAGTGCTGATGTAAACGCTTGGTGTTAGACTTGTGTTTTGTTTAGGTACAAATCTCTCTATCTCTCTCTATCGATATATCTGTAATGTTCTGTTCTATGAACATATAATTGTCTACATAAATAGACGACACAGACTACTTCTCTCATTCCGAGTGTCCATCTTTCTTCAACCGGCACGTAACCTGCACACATGCATTACGTCCTCAACGTGAGCTCATTCATCCAAGATCTTGTATTCTCCAAGATGTTACACTATCTATAACTATCTATCTGTCTCTCTCTATCCATCTATCAATATATCTATCTATCTATCTATCTCTCTCAATATATCTCTCTGTCTATAAGGAACCGCAGTAGACAAAAGGCGTTGCTATAGCAACACGTCATGTTTACGCTGCATTTTCTATGAGGTAAATATTA